GCAGCCTCATGCATCCTCTCTTCCCCGGGATCACATGGGGACTCTCTACTATTTACTACATTTCCCAGACTACTCCACGACTCCTAGTGCCACCAGCTTGCTTCCCTATTGGCCAGCAGTGCTTTATTTATCAACCAATAAGACGTAAGGACGTAAGGACGTCCCCCATCAATACCACTATGCCTCTTACCCATCAGTATTCTCAAATGGGAGAGAGGGAGGAGGAGGGAAGGAGAGGGTGTGTAAGGAGACAAGAGATTAACATTAGATGTCTTCCTCAGCAATTTTCTCACATATTTCAGCTAGACTGGCTGACCAGCAAACTCCAGGGTCCCCAGTGCTGAGTTAGAGGCTCACATGGGTGCTGGGAACCTGAACTCAAATCTTCATGAGTCATCTCCCAGGTACCTAAAGGAACGGATTACTTTTTGCTCACATAGGCTCTTCAACCTGGAACATCTCCTCCCCCCCCCCATTTCTTCTCTTACTCTGTTCCTTGTCCCTTTCCCTCCAGTCCTATCTTCCTAGGTCACCATTTTAACTTATGCCACATTCTCCAACAGCCTTTCTTGATTTTCCAAGTCTAGAGAAATCCTACTCCATCCCAAACTGCCCTTGAATTTGTTAACACCTGACAAACATTCTGGTAGCCATGCATGTTCTTTCTTGGAGGCTAGATCATGTTATCTGTCTTTGTATCTACTTTGGTATTTTTAACTAGAACACTATTAATGTGTGACCCAGGTGAGTCACTATATTTGGTGAGCTGAACGAATGAAAAACTGTAAGCATTTGTAATGATCAGCATATAAGTGTGTATTGATAGCTAAATACAAATAATTATAGCACAAAAGCTGAATCAATCTTGACACACAAATATTTTTATGAAACTATAATTTTCAAAACTGTTCATAGTTACCAACTAAAAGAAATAGAAAAAATTATCCTTACATATATGTTATCTTTTCTTTTTCCCCTCTTGAAGTACCTAAATGAAGCAAACTACGAGAATGTGATTGCTATTCAGATTGGAATAATGGAGCAAACCATTAATGTTATAGAGAAGGTTAGTCTCAAGCACATCAATCATTATAATGCCATCAGTGGTGAGTTGTGTGGGAAGTATTTCAGTCAGGGACCCTAACATAAACTTGATAACTTAGTGATATTCATGACAATCTGAGGTCCCTGAATGCTGCCTCTGCAACCATAGCCAGTGATACAGGCTATAGCATTTCTCTGGGTATTAGGATTAGATCTGGGAATTCATGTGGGTTTGCTTTTACATTGGTTAAATCTGAGCCACATAAGCACTGACAGTGTTCCTGGCATTTTGAACTTTTCCGCTTTGTACAGCTAAATAACAAAATCAGTTTTACTATATAGCATGTCAGATGGAAGCCAAGGTTTTTAAATGTTCATTTTTAAAACCATGTACAATCTTTTCGAAAGTGTAGTATAAACATTCTGTCTCATAACCAAAAAAAAAAAATGGAGTGTCTATTAAGGACAGACCATACCACAGGCACAAGGGATATAATAAGTTATCTTAATGATGATAAAATATTTTAAAAGTCCAAATGTTTAAAACTTTGTTTTTCAAAATTGTTTTTGGGTTTCGTGGGATCAAAACTTTCAGACTCACAGGAAGAATGTAGAAAACTGCAAAAAATTACTCAGAAAATTGGGAAGATACAGTAATCAGAAAGATATAGCAAATTATACGCTGAGCTGCAATCTACGGGAAGAACTAGTGGCTATCTCAGAGAGACAAGACATTTGCAATGAAATGGGTGAGCATTTGTTTTCTTCAATCAATTAAAGGAACTGAACCAGTACCCTTGTTATCTGCACAACCAAAAAGCTATCAGCATCTCTTCTACACAAATGATCCTAGGTGTTGTTCCTGTACTAAAAGTGCTGATCATAATTGAACTAATTCCTTTCTCCATTTCTGGATTAGGGTCTATGCTGACTTGTGAAAAGATTGCCAAAGAACGATATGATAACCTGCTGAAAAAACAGAAGCTGACGAGTATTTCCAAACAGCAAGCCGAGCAGATCTCCATTCTGCAGGCTGAAGTTGAAAGACTAAGGATGAAAACATTCCCTGCCCTCATTCCCATGTAGAACGCCAGCAAGAGCAGAAGGCAAACCAACTATTCCAAAATAATGTCACTTGGAGAAAAATGACTTCTCTCCCTTTCCTATCAAGGAATTTAAGTAGGTTACCTCTTAGCTCCACATTTTTAGTAATAAATTAAGTTTAGGTTAGTCAGTATGCAACTATTTGTCCTAAATAAATAAATGAATAAAATATCATAGTGTCATTTGTATTCATTAAAGAACAGTGGTTTTCAGCCAGGAAAACACTCAAAATTTATTTTGTTCAATTAAAATTACCAGAATTTTGGAGGCTTTACCAGCGAAACCAAAATCATCACTGATTTTCTTAAGTCATTTGTAAATTAGTCTTTCTTACCTATATAACAGAACTAATTTTCCACCCTTACAAGGTTCAGGAAACAAGTGCTCATTTCCTCGAAATAGTTCATTCTACTCATGTAGATGACACTAACCCTATCATAAGATTCACTGTCAAACAAAAATCCGTTCACCCTTCACAGCCTGTGTGGTCTGCTGCATTCCAAGGTGGCCTCATCAGGATCATTATCGTAGTCTCCAAGTGAGGTCTATGCCACACTTTTCTGCAATTTAAAATTTAAATTTAAGCTTAATACACATCACTGTATCTAATATATACTGGAACAGATAAAGCAAAAGAGCAACAACAAAAAAAATCTTCCATTTAGGAGGACACTTGTAATCCCAAGGATCATGAGAATTGGCTGCCAGCCTGGGCTACAGGAGACCTTATCTCAAATAAGTTTCCACTTAGTTTGTTTTGTCCTCCAGTGTATTCGTCTTCATCTTATATTTTATTATTTTCCCTGGAAGCCTGTCTTAGTTTTCTAATGAGAGACAGAAAGGGGGGAGATCCAGATGGGAGAGGAAGCAGGGAGGACCTGGGAAGGGAAACTGTAATCAGGATATATGAGGGGGGAAAAAAGCTATTTTCAATAAAAGAACCAAAAAATTTAAACTACTATCACAAATATGAGTAAGCAGGCAAATTTCGTAGGGATGAAAGGGTGGACAGCAGGACCAACACCGTCTTGCTGACTTTCCTCACAACTACGACTACAAGGAACAGTTTAGCTGATTTAGCAGAGAAAACATTGGTAACATTTCTGAGACAGGATTTTCTGAGAAGCATGGAGATGGAACCAAGAGGGTGTGGAAGGTAAGATGCGCAGGCACTTTATCCTTAGCTTGGGATTGCCAGTTCTCTGGCAATTGCAGAGTCAACCATGGGTACACTAGACTTGATTTTTCTTTTCTAGTATCATAAATGCCATGACACTTCAATTAGTTGCCTAGATACTCCATTAGCTAAAAGACAACGTCCTAAATTCCACTGGCTAATTCTGATCTTAACAGACCAAGTAGCCTGTGCCATTTGTCTTTATCATCAGCTCTAGGTGCTAGTCCTTCCTCAGCCTTTGAGGCATGGATGAATCGGGCTTGGTGCCAGAGTCCGGCTTGTATCAGCCCTACGAAGCAGGGGCCATCTATCCTGGACTGATATCTTTGGGGCTACGCTCGGATCCAGCCAAACAGCCCCGGGTCCGACCCTGAGTGGAGGAGTATGGATCAGGAAAGCTCTAAACTACCCAACGATGTTAAGAACTACACGGAGACATCTTAACATTTCAGGAGGGCTCTCAGGTCATATTGGAAACACTCTTATTCCTGCATCCTCTTAAGTAGCTTTCTAGAAGGGTTATCTATTACGTATATAGGGCTGACTAGGAAACACTTCCTTTAACCCTAGAGATGGTTCTAGAATGCAGGTACACAAACCCTCAGACCTCTGGTAACACACTAGTCCTCAGGTATGCCTCACTGGCCCCCAGGCAGATCACCATGATGGGTGTGGGGGCCTAGGTCTATTGTTACGCAAACCAGAAATCACTCTCCACTGTGACCAGGCCATCCTCAGGTAACCAGCCACCATCTAAAAGACAAAGGGGATCGGAGCTCCTGGAATTGAGCTGAGGCCTATATCGAAATATCATATTTGGGCCCCCACAGGTTGAAGGACTCCTGCTCATACTTAGTAGTTGAGCATGTGCCATGGACTCTAACTCATCTCTCAATACTGTTCACGTGCCAACGCCTCTCAGCCTCTGCTGAATAGCAATTATGCATAATTTTTGACAATTCATTACCAACAAGTAGCATAGTCAATTAAGTCAAGCATAGCATGGCCTTATGTACATGAAGACCAGACTCACAAACATAGATGGCAAGAGGGAATTAAGAGGGAATTTGTATGTGTATATGGTAGCTTGGGGTGTTACAGGTTTGAGTCCCCTGTTGTGTCAAACAGCAAATTTTGGATCAAAAAGGGGGGGAGGGACGCTCAGCTGAAAGCAAGTTCTTAGAGAGCTAAAGAATAGTGGCCATTTACCAACTAATATAGAAGTATTTTTTCTAGATCCCAAAGCAGAAATCATGATGGCTTCAGGAATAACTGGCAAATAGAACAAGGAAGACATTGATCCACAAAGTTCTCCCTCTACCCACCTGTACAGACCTGCTATACTTAAGATGCTAGCCTTTCTTCTCCCAAGGTTATACAACAGCTCCAACAGCAGCAACATGCTTTTCCCACTAGGTTCATTCGAAATTCTCAGCAAGTAGGCCAGCTAGTCACATCTCCACACACAGCTAAGAAGACAGGAACTTCATCTTACCATATTTAACTTTGATAGGTTCCCTCCTGGCTGAGGGCTCACTAAGAACTCACCAGCAACTGTGGAGAACCTTCCATACCAAGAACACCTCCATGTGGGAAGTAAGGGTATGAAGCCTCCCAAGAAACAGATGGCCATTTTAGTAAATGAGGAAAACAAGACATAAAGCTGAAGAAAAACTGTGGACTTATAAGTTTAATTACTTGCTAGACTAGCAGACAGAAAGACATATTAAGTAGATGAAAACAAGGTTCATAAACTCAGGAGGGCAAGTTACATTTAGGCCAGGTGAGGTTTAGACATTCAATAGAATACTTTTTAACACTGAATATAAAATCTTTTGCCACAAACTCGATGTATTAAACCTGGTTTCCAGAATTATCCAAACTTCCTTTTAAACATTTAATTTTTTTATATTTAAATATTTTCTTTAGCAAACATATCCAAAATACTAAGCTTCATGTTATAATTTTGTTTATGTATCAGAATATCCTGAACTGTTCAAGATACCTTTTTCAAGCCCCAACAACAGCTTACATCTTTCTTCCCTTCTAAACACTTATTCTTCTCACATTTTCATTCTCAAAGATATTCTGTAGAGGGGCCAAAAGCATAGCTCAGGAACAGAGCACATTTGAGGCTCTGGGCATGATCCCATCACCCCAAAAGGAGAGGGAAAAAAGCCTGAAGGCAAAACAACAACAACAACAGCATCAAATCCCTGTAAATTCTTCTTCAGTTCTATCATAGTGCACGACTTTCTCGTCTACCCCATAGTAGTCGATGAGCTCGGTGAGGCTGAGTTTCTCATCATCCTCAGACATGACCGCCTGCAGCTCATACAGCAGCTGCTGGCTGCACTTCCGCCACTTCTTTATTAACAGCTCTAACTCAGACAAGTTGTTCTGAAACAGAGAAGTAAGCAAGCCCATCAATGATCAGAGAGCTGCGCATTTTAACTTGCTCCATCAAAGAGCTACACCAGTTCCTGTCTAACTTTAAAAGCTAATACCCCAGGCATAAGCGGCACTACAAACTCTGAGCAAACCTTAACCTTGGGGGGAAAAACATTATTAAATCAGAATATTAAACTTAGGAAGAAATTATGATTCTCAATACACTTCTGTATAATTATACTTTTAAGATATGCCATGTTTTACCTTCCTAATTTTTCTGTGAACCCCAAACTGTTTTTAAAAGGCGAAAATATTCTAGTTAAAAATACTTTCAATATTTAGAAATAAGTCACCTTAAGAAAAGTCAAAAATTCAAAACCACAAATAAGATGTCCTATCATGTACTCCATGCTTCTGAGAAGAATGAGGTGTTATATGGGCGAGAACCATCCAGATAAAAAATGTCACCTCCTTCCAAACATCCACATTCTACTGACTACAGGAGCTGAAACCTAAAATATGCTGTTTCTTGAATGTCTGACATTTTATTTAGAGATACAAGGTCATTACTAAAAGTACTGTCTACTGTAATCCGTGGTCTATTTTTAGTTCTATTGTCATCCCTTTCTATTCCCAGTGTATTTTCACCAAACAATTTATACTTCTAATTTTGCTACTGGCTAGGAATTAAAGCTAAGAAGCTTCAACTGTGTAATGAACAAAAAGCTGCAGCTCTTAGTTTTACCCCGTGTTGACAGGGCTCATCAACCTCACTCTTAATCAATTACTTCAGTTAAAGATGTGGTATGCCAGGTTTCCGCTTATTTGGTTTCTTGCTTACCAGACCAAAATGATTTCCAAATTACTTTACTGCAATTTATATAAAAATTACTCAATAATTCTGGAATTCTTCTCACCTTTATTCTATACATTTTGACAAGTTTTAGTCTCCGAAGAAGGTCTTCCTTCTCTTGAACCTGCTTTGTCAATTTTGCTTTTTCTTCCTTTAACTTTTCTTTACTATTCTCACTCTCAAAATCATTTTGGAGGGCACTGGATGACCCAGAATCAACTGGCTTAGATTTGCATGTGTTTACATTCTCCGAGCTGTCTTTTTCAGATGCACTGTCTTTATGTTTCAAACTTCCTTGGAATGCTGAACAGCTCTTTTCTTTTGACGATGCTCCTGGTTCTGAAAAGGTCTCATCATTTTCCTCCTTCTCTACTTTAAGTCGCTTCACCACACTACAGAAAGAGTAAGATGAAGACCTTGTTTTCTTTAATCTTTCTTTAAGTGTTCCACTCATAGGCTGAAAAAGACAAAAAACAAAAATGTTAAGAAAACATTCTTTGAGTGACCCTGGCTGTCCTGGAACCAGGTCTGTAGACCAGACTGGCCTCGAACTCATAGAAATCCAATGGCCTCTGCCCCTTGGATTAAAGACAAGAGCCATCACTGCCCAGCTAAGAAAACCTTCAAGTGAATCAATCTATTAGAAATAAAGGCTGTATACTTCTATGGTAGGAACAAGGGGCAGCTTTCTGTCTTCACAAATCTCAAACAAGTATCACCAATGGTCTTTATTTCCCAGAAGCTCCTTTAGTCTTACTTTAGCAAGGTTAACTTCCTAAACTAGGCCTGAGACACTTCCAGTCACCAGGAGTTATTTGTTCAGCAATTAGCATTTGCCTGGCAACACTACAAATGCTTCAAAACTACAGACTAGGGAAAAGACCTGTCACCAAAGACTTCCCCTAAGAAATAGTATACAGATCCAAATTTGAAGAATCTCAAAAGGCTGCTAAGAAACTCAACAAAATGAACTGATTCAAGAAGAAAATCTGGCAAAGAAAGGAAGGCACAGGCTATATACACTGACACTCCAGTGTCCTTAAAACTGCCACTACAAGAACACTTTGAAACACAGAAAAGGGGGTAGAAAGCAAGATTTTCATACTTGTTTTCCTAAACTATTTGTTTGGGGTGATGGTAGAGTCTCACTGGTCTGGGGAGTGTCAGGTAAAGTCGATGCTGAATCTGATTTGCTCTCCAGCTTGGATGTTGAATCTGATTTGCTCTCCAGCTTGGATGTTGAATCTGATTTGCTCTCCAGCTTGGATGTTGAATCTGATTTGCTCTCCATCTTAGTGGATGCTGAATCTGATTTGCTCTCCATCTTGGTGGATTCTGAATCTGATTTGCTCTCCATCTTGGTGGATTCTGAATCTGATTTGCTCTCCATCTTGGTAGATTCTGAATCTGATTTGCTCTCCATCTTGGTGGACAATGAATCTGATGAGCTCTCCATCTTGGTGGATTCTGAATCTGATTTGCTTTCCATCTTGGTGGACAATGAATCTGATGAGCTCTCCATCTTGGTGGATGCTGAATCTGATTTACTCTCCATCTTGGTAGATTCTGAATCTGATTTGCTCTCCATCTTGGTGGATTCTGAATCTGATTCCCTTTCCATCTTTGTGGATGCTGGATCTGATTCGCTCTCCATCTTAGTAGACGATAAATCTGATTTGCTCTCCATCTTGGATTCTGAATCTGATTTGCTCTCCATCTTAGTGGATGATAAATCTGGTGCACTGTCCATCTTGGTGGATGCTGAATCTGATTCCCTTTCCATTTTGGTGGATGCTGAATCTGATTTGCTCTCCATCTTGGAAGCGAAGTCCTGATTTCCTTCTAAAAAACGAAAAGGCATGGATGGTGATCAAGTATCTCAATGCAGACCTTAATTTTTATCAACAAAATTTTCCTTAGTGTACAAAAACACCAAAAAGTCAGCAATTTCTTCCAATTATATGTATTTGTAGTTTATTGTAATTCTTTTTTAAGTTTTTTCATTTATATTTCCACATGGGGAAAAACAAGGTTTTGTTTTTTCACAACAAATTAGCTGGCTAGCATGCCATTGATTCTCACTGTTCTTAAAATAGCTCCAAAATTTTACACTTCAGGGAGGAGGGGAACTGACTTTTCCTAGTCGAGGATTTTCTTTTTAATTTTTGCTATAAATTTGTAAATAAAAGCAAATTTGTAAATAAAAGCAATACAGCTGGAATAATGTAAACATCTTGAATCTTAAAAGCTTTGTGCCTAGAACCAGGAATGCTGCAGGCAGCCGCCTTAGAAAACAGTCTCTGCCCTGTTTTGGTTTACCAGGGGAGAAGCCACCCCAGAACCTTTCCCCCCACCCCCGCAACTCCTCCCCCATCTCCGTGCTCACCTGCCCCTACTCCTGCCCAAGCCCATCATCTCCTCCCGGGGGCCCCATCTCCCCACCTCACCCCGCCCACTCCTCCTCCGCCCACTCCCCGCCCCTCCGCACAGACAGCCGCCCACCCCGCCCCCTCTCCCCGCTCACCCCTCTCCCCTCCCCCCACAGCCCTCCACCCCACAGAACAGGGAGGCCGCGCTCCGCCGGGAAGAGCTCCTCTGTCAGCCCCTCCGACCCGCGGAGGCGCGGCGCCCAGAGCAGCCGCAGGGAGGGAGCACAGTACCTTCGTCAGCCATGCCCACAGCAGAACAACAGCGCACAGCCAGCGCAGCGGCCACGGGAGACGGCCTCGCCCCGGAGGCGGGGCCCCGCGGGAGGAGAGACGCGCGATTGGCTAAGCGCGACCGGAGCGGGCGGATGTGCTTGGGCCAGCTCCCGACGGCGCGTGCGCGCAGGGCCGCCAGCCTCAGCCAGGGGGCGGGGTGGGGCGGGGCCTGGCGGGCGCGGCTCGTGATTGGCAGGGCCCTGCGCGCGCGGCTCGTGATTGGCAGGGCCGGGCGCGCGCGGCCGCCCGCCCGGGGATGGCGTCCCGGGAAAGACGGCGCTGAGATCCGCGCAGGCCTGAGGGGGGCGCGCTCCCGCCCGCCGCTGCCGGTCCCGGGCTGCCCTCTCGAGCCGCCTCCCTGGGGGCGCGCCCGGGAGACAGCTCAGGGCGAGCTCCGCCTCCGCGCGCCCGCTCCCTGGCAGTCGGCTCGCGGCGTTTTCCTCAGACGTGGCAGGGCCGGAAGCCGCGGGGCCCGCTCGGCTCCCTGCTGGCGAACCCTTCCCAAGCCTTTCGTGGTCACGGAAGAGACGCCGGGAACCTACCCAGGCCTCTCCCGCTGGCCTTGCCGCCTCGCCCTCGATTCTGCTGTGTCCGCCCCGGCTCGGCTTCACACGTTTTGGTCAAATCTGAGAAAACGTAACCTAAGGGAGCTCTTAGGGCGCGGGGCACGAAGGGGAGCCGTCGGCTGGGTCGGTCCAGAATCCAGATGTTTGAGACCTCAAGCCCCTTGGCTAGACCCTGGGAGGCCACACTGTTAGCCTGAAAACGCCCCCTCCGTTTCCGGTGTTCGGGATGTTCGGTTGCTAGGCAACCGCCAAGAGCACTCGCTTGGGTGGAGCACTGGGGTTTGGGAAAAGCAGCTGAGTAACTTGTGAGTCACTTGGAAGTTTGTAATAGGCAAGGACAACTCTCTTTACAGACATGTTCTCATGGTGCCTTAAAGTAGCCAGAAAAAAAAAAATGATTAGAGTCCTAAGCAGCAGAAACTTAATGAGGTTATTAGACCTGTAAATGCTGCGGGCAATTAATTGCCTAGGTTCAAGTCTAGGCACCCTAGTGGGTTTTTTGTTTGTTTGTTATTTACTTTGGTTTGGTTTTGCTATGGAGTGTAGTGGCGGTGTACCTCAGTTTGATGGTTTGGTAAATGAGAATATCTACCTCCTAGAGACAGGGAAATTAAATGATAATTTATGAGCGGCAGCTAGAACAATTCAAGCTACCAAAAATTAATGGCTTCTTTATTCAAGCACAATCGTCATTCCCTAATTGACTTAAAGCTATGTATCACAGCCGGGCGGTGGTGGCGCACACCTTTAATCCCAGCACTCGGGAGGCAGAGGCAGGCGGATCTCTGTGAGTTCGAGGCCAGCCTCGTCTACAGAGCGAGTTCCAGGACAGCCTCCAAAGCCACAGAGAAACCCTGTCTCGAAAAACCAAAAAAAAAAAAAAAAAAAAAAAAAAAAAGCTATGTATCACAAGCTTTTATCCCTTACCTTTCTTCCCAAAAGCACGTATTTTTTTTTAAATGGTGCTATGTCCAACAAAATTCCACATAACCTAAGCCATAAGTAACAGAAAATTTGGAGCCTTCACATAACTACTAGTAAATATTTCACTCCTAAATGTCTAATAAACGTGTGAATTAACCTTACCAACTTCAGGACACCAACAACAGAATGAATGATTTTATGATACAGGTGTTACTTGCCAGTTCACAGATCACTCTGCCCACTAATTCGTCTCACTTTTTCCCTGATAGGAGCTGATCTCACTGCAAAAAGGGACTTAACTTGCCATGACACTTGAAACAGTGCACACTCTGCATATTCTGGATGCCTCAAGGCATAAGGATGAGGTGTTTTTATGAGTCTAAAATCAGCTGCTCCCAAATCCTTTTATTGTTACAACCTATCTTAGAGCTGTGTTTTTGCTAGCTCCGTAAAAGAAAACAATATCTTGCCTTGCAAATGTTCTGACTTGTTTTTATGTGAAGCGGGTGTATTAAAGTAAGACTGGCCAAACTTTCAGAGGGCCTCTGGGCAGTGCCCAGGAAAGCCTGTCAGTTCAGAACTGTGCGTCTGCTGACCTTTATTTTTCTGTGTGTTTTTAAGTGTCAGTGCTCATCCCACATGTTTGTATTTCACTTTCCATCCTCAATTCAGTGGGAAAGATCTGGAATATGTATAAGTTGCCCCTATTCAAATGGAGATGAAGCTCTGTGGTAAGACGCTTGCCTGTCATTCATGAGGCCCCCTATTTGAGCATTAGCCTGAAGAAAAAAAAATCCATTAAAGTTTCCATGTGTCTTTAGACAAATATTTCCATGTCTTTAGTGACCTGAAATCTATTTGCCTACAAAGAATTTACTGTCTGTCACATAAGACATTTGCATCTTCACATGAAATTTTCAAGTAGTAAAAAGTGTTGCCTTATGAGCCAGACAACAAAGACTCCTTAGTCAACCATAGAAAACAATGAGGAATTGTCCTGGGACTCAGGGATAATAGTAATTAATTTCATCCTAAGTCAGGCTTTCTCTGTGTTTTTAACTTTCTGTAATTCCTAAGGCTACTATTGACTCCTTCATTATTCATCAGGGAGTGATAATGTGTGTCTTCCATTCTTGCTATGATTACTGTTGATGGCATGATGACATATACCTAGGAATTTATGAGATTTTTTTGTTTTATTCATTTTTAAGTGCAGGAAAACAATAGTGTATAGTCTTTCTTCCTATCCCTTCTCCCCTTCCCATGCAACAATAAAGGTATCTTAAAGCACAATTAAAATTTTCAGTGGATTTCTTTTTCTTTTAACCTTGTAGCTTTAGAATTTAAAAACAAAAACGTAGCATTAACTCAGGATAATTTATTTTATTTCATAGACTTTTCTATATTGACAAAAATTTTGAGCCAGGTATTGGTGGCTCACACCTTTAATCCCAACAATTGTTAAGCAGAGGCAGGTAGATATCTGAGTTCAAGGCCAGACTGGTCTACAGAGCAAAATCCAGGACATCCAGAGCTTCTATACAGAGAAACCTTGTTGAAAAATTTCTGTACCCCAATAAGCCTGTCTGCTGACACAACACTCCAAATCAGACCAAATTAGAAAAGGCCCATGATTTAATAACTGCAACGCTCCCAGATAGCCTTCCAGATCTCCAGAGAGGAGACGGGAAAGAGAGTCTAGAAAACCATGGGGGACAGTTTACCCTGTGAGAGTGGTCTTGAGCATCTCTGGGGGAGGGGTCACCATTTGGCAGGCTTTCTGAGATGCAGTAGGTTTGGAGAGAGATAGCAAAGGCACTTGGAGTAGAACTACTACCAGAACATTCCAGACTCTTTGGTATATGGATGCCAGGGACTGAGGTGAAGCTTCCACCAGAACACTTGTCTCAGAAAAAAAAATCTCATGAAGACATAGCTAGTATCTATTTTTTCCTTTAAGATACAAATACTTGAAATCTGATTAAATCCATTCATGTGAAGAATTGTAAAAAAAAAATCCACATGATTAAGTTGATGTGTAGAACAAAAGAAAAATTCAGTAAAACTTCTAAACTACTTACTATGACATTTTCTTACTTGTATGTAAGTAGAAAATACCTTCAAAAACTCTTGTCTAGGTTTCTCTTGCCAGTGGCATCTTATAGACCCAGCAAGGGTATAGAGGTGTTCTTAAGTTTCCTGTTCAGAATAACTATGTGTTTCTTGTTCTTTCTCTATTAACTATAAATCTCGTGGGGAGTTTTAAAAAGGGGGGTAATTAATCTACTTTTAGAGATTATCAAATACTATAGGAACCTCTGTACACATTTTTTAAACTATGCTTCAGCTATATTAATCATGAAGGAAAGGGCTGTTAGTTGTTTTAGGCATCCCTAACAATTCTGCCTCACTAAGTAGGATGGGGACCTAGAATGAGGAGATACAGTGATGAGAGTCAATGTTATTACTGTAATAAAACCTTTCCGACACAAGGCCACTGGGAAAGCTTCTGATAGCTGAGGTGCAGAATAATGAACTGAACAAAACCCTAAAGTGCTCCCTTCCCATGACTTCTGTTCTCTTACCCTGCCAGATCTGGACTTTGGTCAAGTCCATCATAGAGAAACAAATGCGTCTGTGATTTGATGCTGGTCCCTCAGAACAGAGTGAGTCGAGTCAGAGTAATGATGGTGATGGAGGAGGTGGGCTGTGTGGGGTGAGGAAGGGGACAGTGAGAGACAGACTATGTGAAGATAGTAAGAACCAAAGGATTGCTCAGGCCACAGCTTCCTCAGGTCCTTTATTAATGTAGAAATGTCACCCTTGGATTCATTTGAAGAAAAAGGCATCAGGTGTCAGCAAATCTTTGAGCAACTGAACTTGTCTTATAATCATCTGTAACCACCTTGGAGTTTGAGAGATAACAACTCCCATGGTAATTCCACAGTATTGAGATCTGTTTGAAGTGCCGGTAAACATGTCCATTCAGTATTCTATCCTTGCCTTTCATTACTGTTTCAGTCCTGAGGGTATAGACTTCATGGGGACTTTTTTAGTGGGAAGAAAAAAACCGGAAATGGGAGTTGAGAGACCACTCTTGGCAAGCTTTGATGATAAATATAGTACTGAATCAAGCACGTGAATTTAGGTTAACCAGAAATTTTGTAGTGTAATTCAGGATCTGAGAGCTAGACTAAAACTGAATCTCGTTCCCCCTACTCTACCAGTCAGAAGAAAACAGCAGGTTTCTATTGCAGAGACAAAAGGCTTAGATTTCTATCATCAGTCTTTATAAGCAGCATCAAACCTGCTGGAGGCAAAGCTCCTGAGCAGGCAGCGGAATCCCCAGTAGGGACCACTACAGAGGCATGGCCAGAGATGCCGCCATGACTTCATTGGGCAGACTGCCTCCGCCATGACTTCACTGGGCAGACTGGCCTCTGCCATGACTTCACTGGGCAGACTGGCCTCTGCCATGACTTCACTGGGCAGACTGGCCTCTGCCATGACTTCACTGGGCAGACTGGCCTCTTCACTCATCTCCTTCCTGCTCCCAAGATTCTACCCATTTGCTCTTGTCCCTGCTCATGCATCCAGATCATACGACTTGTCAGTGACACTGTTAACTAACTTTCTGACTCTGTTACACTTTTGGTACTACCAATAAATAATATACAAGTTTAATGATGAACCTGATGGCCCATAATTGGAATATGACTGAAAATTGCACCTTTGCCATAGATTAAATATTGCTGGAACAAAAGCATTGCTCTCGTATTACAGGGAATAGGAGGTAATTTGTAATGGACTCGAATATGGTGACAATTGCTTGGGAACACAGGCTCAGGTTGCTCCAAACACCATGTTCTCATTCTAATCATTCAGCCATCCCTGTTGATTATTTAATGTAGGTGTAGCCCCCCCCCGTCCCTACACTCGGAAGGTCAGTGAACAGCTTTATGGAAAAGAAGCGCAGGATAGAACCGTATCTGGTCCTCCAAGCTCTACTCTACCCAGCTATAAAGACTCTGTTAACAAAGATTAAGAGAGATGATGCTTTTCCTTCAACTGTGCAAACCCCTAACTCACTTTCTAATTAGCTCTGCCAAAGGTTCCTCTTATAGGTATTATTAAAGTCCATCAAGCACCCACACCGTCTCACATCCTCCGAGTCAAGTGTCCTTTTCTTATAGCCACTTTCAACCCCTTTCTAAAAGCACGAAACCATTCACTGGAACAACTCTTCTCCTACACCCTCGCCCCTCAAACTTGGAGAGAACAGTGACAGTCTATTCC